CAACCTGTGTCTCAATTGAGTTCAAGTATTTTGGTGTGTTGCTCTCAACTGATGGTTGAATCAAGAGATTGATACAATGATTTAGACCTTTGCTTCCACACCAAGGTATTGCTATAGTTTCAGGTGGTGTAGTCAGATGAAAGTAATCAAAATGGGCTTTCCCAGCATGGTGGCCAAAGTCAATCTTAAAAGGTGGGCTGCCAAGTTTCACCTATTTGTATTATACCTATATACAATATATAATATAACAGCTCTAGATGATGATTTAACCTGTCAAATGAGTATGATTTGAAAACATTTTTTTATTTGTTTAATATGACTTAGTTTTATAGACTCTTTTTTAATATAAAGCAGCAGTGTTTCAACTACAAGCTGTCCTCAGGAGATGGACCTGCCCAAGTGAGAGTGCAAAGACTGTTCTATGTTTATAACAGCTTGGGTTATTTCCTATTATCGTAGTTTATGGTGGTGTAAGAAACAAGCCAGCAGAGGAAGGTACATTTTGCTTCAGAAAAAAAAGATTCTCCAGTTCTGTGAGAATTTTTTCGATCGGGCCAAGTTTAAGCCTCATCGTTGTGTTGTATACAGGGGGCAACAAAGGGTGATCAACCTCTCACGACCACCTCCCAATCAGGAATCGTGTGGTCGGGGAAAAAAAAACGATATATTTAAACTTCAGTTGGCTGCAATGAGGTGTTCGTAGGCAAATCCTACTGTTGAAGCAGAGTTACGAGCGTCCACAAGCCCATTTACCAGAACCTTACGTCGTACAGTTTGAGCTGTAGTTGCGTGCAACAATTGAAAATATCGTGCAGTGCCTGCCCAGCTTTACATGTCATTGTTTCTGTGCTGCATTAAAAAAAGAGGGCGAGTATACCCACTTCTCCAGGGACCACTACACTACTGCCTTTTCCCTCTTCCTTCTCTAGTACTAGGACTATTCAAACAGGACATATCATGGTGACTGTTAAGCACCTCCCTTTTGGCTTGAGAGTCCTTATAGATTTGCTGTATGTGGATGGAAGCACTGTTTTGGATATTAGCCCATGTCTATGTTTTTGAGCTTGAAATGCAAATGGAGGGAATTAATCTCTGTACAAGCTTTTTAAGCTGATGATTATCCATCTCTGCAAACCAGCAATTTCAAAGTAAAGAGTTATGTTATTTTCAGCACCGAGTAGATCTTCTACTTATTTTTTTTCAGTCTTAATGGCCTCTGTTTGATAAGGTGAGCTATCTTATAACATTGGAATTATGGTGGATATTTGTGGTCTTATACTCAAAAATTGGACTTACTGAAAAAAGTGAGTGATTTAATGATATTAATCTATGAAATGTTTAGATTAAGAGAAAAAGATTTCAAGATAATATAATATGGGTCCTATTTGTGAAATACCTACTTGCAATATTTAAACTCATCTTAATACTAATTGTTAAAGTTAAAACAAACAGGTGATATCATTCCAAATGCTCGTATCTGACTGGCTAGTGAGGGTTGTTCTATTTTCTTTTATTCTTCTGTTCTTTTGCTATACTGAGGGTTGAAATTTTGTAATTCATTTAGTGTCCAGGACTGGAAAGTCTAGGTTTGAAAAGTTTTCACCCACACATAACTCCAACCAACCAGAACTAAACCATCCTAACTAAGGCTGACATCAGTGGAAGAGGGACACATTTGCTTTTAAGAAAATGTTTATTTTACATCTAAAATAAGATTACATGACATTAATGTCAGCTAGCGGCTGGCTAGCTCAAAAAAGTCACCTGTCCTGAAAACAGGAGGCCTGGGTTCATATCCCAGCAAGGGGGAATGAGTCAGAGACCCTTAACCCCATACTGCTCCCCAAGGGGATGGGTTAAATGCAGAGAGTCCATTTCGTTGCTCCGTACTTTTGACAGTGTAGTGACAATAAACGCTGGAAAATGAAAAAAAAAATGTGTCAGAAATCAACCACATTGTTGATAGTCTTTGCAAAGCTACTGTGAAGTATTTTTATTTGCAGAAGCCTCAATATTTTGTCTTAGACTCACAAACTTTATGCAGTTATACACAAATATGAAACTACAATTGTGTGATCCTTTGTTCAGCACAGGAAAGGGGTGTAGTAGCTTGTCTATGATTTGTTGGTATGAGTAGTAGATGTACAGTAAGGATATTGAAAGGAGAACTGGATATGCAGCCCTTCTGCCAAACTTATACCCACATCATACTTTTTCTGTCCAGTTTATTTTTTACAAAGACCCTTGGGCTGCAGCTGCTATGTTGTTTTCCTCTCAGACACAAGCCTCTTGTGTCTCATGAAACAGTATTTACAGAGCTCCACACCCTTATTTGGTGAACATAGCTAGATTGCTGCCAATGCAAATTGCTGGGAAACAAAGGAAATGTGGAATATAGTTACAGCAGGTGTGAATATGTAATAATGGAAAAGTTTTGCCTTTTCATAAACTAATAAAGGGGATGGGAAGAACAAAACTTTGCCTGGCTTACCAAAGGACAGTGGGACAGCCTGTTGCTGTCTTTAAAGCCTTAGACCTCGGACTTTAAAGCCTAGCCATGATAAGCTCACAGTTATCCCTGAATAAACTCACTAAGAGCTTGAGTTTAGTGTGAATAATTTCCTCAGAGCTGAAAAGTAAGATATGTGTAGTGTTCTAAGAGGAAACTTCTTTTCTGGCATCTTTTCATGTGGCTGACATGCTAAAACATGCTGATAGTTTTTGCCGTATGGCCAGATCTAATGTTGAATAAATGTTGTGTGGCAATCCCGATTTTAGTTTTAAGTTATTTATTGTTTGAAACAACCTACAGTAACACATCATCCAAACCCGGCTATCATTCAGGAATAATGATAACCCCTAAGTGTACGTATAGCAGTATCTTTATGAAGACTGGGGGATGTCCAGGGAATCATAGGTTTACATGCTATATCTGCAGATTAATGAGACACAGATGTTAAGAATGCAGGAGAGCATTTAGGAGAAGCAGAAGTTTAAAGGTAAACAATATTTTGTCCTTAGTCATAGTATTGAAGCAGTCTGATCAATATTACACTGAAGAATGTTATTATAACTAGCTGAATGGAGTCCTTCACAGGAAGTCCTTTAAGACCACAACCCTTATAACAGGTGTAAACTCTGTATTTAAAGTCTGAGTTATATTATATTTGTGCCTGCCCTATTATTAATCTTTTTTTCTCTGACTTGGTATTTAGGCAATTTTTTAAAATTGAAATAGCATGTAAGAAGTTAAACAAATGAAAAACACTGGAGTCAGCTTCATTTTGAGAGGTTATTACAAATGAAGTGAGTTATTTAAGAGGTTGGTTTATGTTTAAGTATTGTGGTTTAACTTTATTTTGCACACTCGTTGATTTTTTTAAACAAAGTTAGAAGTCTCTAAAGTCATCTGCAGGATCATTATTCACCGTTAAATTTGGAGGCTTTGCATAGCATTTATCAGAGTGCGTGTTAATGAAGGGTTAAATTCTCTCACAGAAAGCAGAAAGCTGCTGAATCACCCAATCAGCCTCAGGATAATTTTATTCACACTTTACATTCGGGGCAGCATCTGTGTTTCTCTAATTTCACTGTTGAATGACCTGCCGATAGTAACCCATTTATTTCTGGGCACAGCTGAGTTGCAGCTTTTCTTTTACCAGAGCACTGGAAACTATTTAATGAACACCTCAAAGTAGTTTTCCTCAAAATATTTAAGCTGCTATGTTGAATTTGTGCTGGTCATAAGTTGTAAATTAAACTTATGGAAGCAGTCAGGTAAAATAAAAATAAAATTTAAATATATTCAGGGTCCAGTTATTTGCACTCTTTGCTTCACCCCCTTGATGTTTACTGGGTATTTATCAAAAATAGCAACAGGCATCGTGTTAAATGTTTGCACAATTAAGACTGTTATTTAAAAAAAGTCAGCTGTGAGATGAGAAGAGCAAGAATAAATCCTAATCAGCAAAACTAGTTTCAACTGTAAACAATACTCAAAAAAGCACATTCCTATATATACAACAGGAAATTCCAGATAATGAAGAAGAAATATAATGGATACTATGGATCCTCTTGTTTGGAATAAATCAAGCTTGGATGTCCAAAACAAATCCTTTTTTTTCTTTTTTCTTCTAGGAACCACCTTGGTAGACTTAACCACTTCAGTTAATTCCTTTCACTGTGACGGGAGCGGTAGGTCTGTTTCTGTTCAGGATCTCCTTCTCTATCTGAAGTTTGAGTTATATCAAAAATTTCTGCCCCCACATCTTAAAACCGCCTGATTAAATTATGTGTACTTATTATTAGTCTATTGGATTGAAATTACATTATTTAGGAATGAGTGGTGGAAGGGTAAACAGCCCCATGATTTACACTATTTAAATCAAATTAAAATGGCCTAAAAACTATCCTGCTTCCTGCAGTCCAGACCAAATATGAGCATTTAATCTCTTTTAAAGGGGATGACGAAAGCTAGATATCACTGATTCTCTTTGCTCTGATTTGTACTCTTCTTGGCTTAGGGCAACTAAAGTAAGCTCCAAATTATATAACTTTAGCAACAGTCAGAGTTTGGACAGTGTCAGTGTTTTGGGCTAAGCCATGTGAGTTTCTCTTGCTTTCGTTCTGATAAACTTAATTTCAGGTAAGTTTCTAGTCTAAAAAAGCACAACAACTATTCTCAATTATTGCTGTAGGATGGATCTTTATATCTTTTATCTTATCTTTATATATATTTTATATTTTTCATCTTTCATGTAGAAATTGGTTCTTATACCCTCCTGGTTAACTTTAATATTTCATTTTGTTGAGGTTCTACACCAAGTAATAACTGCAATATTAAAATCATTAGTTCTGAGCATCAGCAATAGAAAAACAGCAGAAGAGTTTGGAGTCATTTAGTTAAACAGTGGAGTCATTTGCAAACATAGGTGGTGCTGCTGGGCCAGTTCATCCTTGAATGATGAATGAGACGATGCAGGAACAGAGAAGGTAAAGAGCAAAGCTGCAGGGGCAGACGGCTAACATGTCCTTGTAACAGAGGAAAGAACACCGCCATTATCTCATAACTGCTCTCTTGGTCCAATTACGGTACTTCACAAGTGCAACATAAAGTGGGGACGGTAAGTTTCAGTCTTATGTCAACCTTCAACTCTCTGAATTCAGACTAACAATAGAACCTATTGGACATGCTGTTGCTGAAGGCCAGATGCTGTACATGAGCTGACAAAAAGTTCTTGAAACCTTCTGACAAATCTGTTTAGTTACACAGGAGATCCGCTCTGATCACACACCTGAGATGACAAAATATCTCCTTGTTTCTCATTAGAAACCTAACTGTCAGTGTGGAAAAGTTTCAGACAGTCACATTGCGTTCTAACAGAGCTGATCGTCTGTCTGTGTTTAAAATGACAATGGACTCAGTAGACGGCAGTTCCTGTAGCTCATTAAAAGTAAGCGCCTGAGCAGCTTTAGGACAGAGTTGATTGGAACAGGAGGTAATTGAAGAAGCAGACAGTTTCTGCTGACAACAGAGTCAGATGTCCTGCGGCTAAATTTGTCGTGTCTCAGGAGGTCCTTTCTTCACGTGATTTACACAACTCTAAAGGCTTCAGGTTTTGAATTATAATTACTCCAAAAAATAAGACACTTTTCCATTCAGGTGATGAAGAAAGTCTATCAATGTTTGCTGTGACAGAGGCTGATCCAATGCGAATTTAGGGAATCATAAATGATAGAAACTAACTGCAGAGACTGGTCTTAAATCATTGATACAAGGTTGCTGTAGGGTAAGACTTTCAACCTGACTGACCTAAGTTAAGGCTCTGATTTCCATGGTGGATGATGGATCAGACTTGGGTTCATTGTGAATATTGCACCAAAATCACAATCTCTCTGTCCCAAAGTTGATCAGTTTTTAATACTTATGTCAAATTTATCTCACTGTGATAGATTAGCAAGAGAAGGTTGAGGCAGTAGGTGGTCCTCTGAGAGACCTTACACCCTGATTGGGTCACAAGTCCTTTTTTTTTTTTTTTTTTGCTGTGAGTTCAAAGGCATGTATGCTATGAAGTCGGACCAGCTATTGTATGAATAGCAGACACAGAAGTCTGCTATTAATAGGCTGTTTTCCTGTGGAAGGGATTGAAAGCATATATGCCACCGTATTAGACTTTCATATTTCACTCCTTCTACTGCCAGTCACTGGGTAGTGAACATTTAAAGAGAACTATCTTCAAACCCTCATGGCTGGCATTCAGATAGAATTGTCGAGAGCCTTAGACAGAACTCACAATTTTTTTACCTCCCAGATGTATATAAATAAATTACATCCTCAAGGAATCACTCTGAATTACATCTGGCATGTAAGGGCCAACTAGGGTTCAGTTGACAAAGGTCACTTTGTCATACTAAAATTGGCATAAGAGTTGGTATCTTGACCTGTTGAGAGTTTATTTAAGCTAAGTCGGATGTATAATCAGCTATGTGAGCATCATGTTTATGTATATATAGATATATATAAAATGCCTGTTTTCAAAAACCTATATTACTCTTATACATTAAGGATGCATCTCTGATTAATACAAAACCTGCTAATAACAATTTTTACTCAAATGAAACCTTAAGATAATAAGATTTTACCTGCTCAGATCAGTAATCTTGATTATTAGGGTCCTGTCACTTATATGCAAATTAGATTTAACTAGCCCTAACTCAATGTATTCAGTCACTATACAAATGAATTGCAAACAGATGCACAATGCTGGAAAACACTAACGTGGGGTCAGCCGGGGCATGTGAGGAAAACACACACCTGTCCTCATGACAATTAAGTGACAGACCATGGTAAATCTGTGAACAACTCTTCACAGGGCTGTTTTGAGTTATGCCCTTCAGTTCCTCTCCGTCATTTGGACCACTGAACCACAAAAAAACCTAGAGAAGAGAGGCTCTGCAGGCCTATACGTTGATTTCTTGATTCAGGGATATTCTTTCCTGTCTGCAGAGATCAGCGAAAACCTTTCTGCTGCAACTCAAAGTGGAAATATCAGGTGTGTCACACACCTGTTGTCTTTCTTCTAAAGAGAGAGGAAATATGAGATGTACAAAAACATAGATCCAGAGGTGGCCATTGAAAAGTAGGGGAAAATGTTGAAGAGAGAAGGGGTAGACAAACATGGGAAGAGGGAGACAGAGGGACGGATAAAACAGGAGAAATTTAAAAGCACTGTGTGACAGGAATGTGTAGGCATTTTTAGACATATAGCTCTAATTAGCCTTGAACACTTTGTTATGGAAAGTGTTCAAGTTCCCAATGGATATAAATAAGAATGAATGTACATAAGCCAGCGTGTTATGCTGCATGTGTATTGCTATTGTTACCTTGGGAGGGTGGCCTCTGACATTTTGTGCCCAGGGAACCTTGCACATTTTTTTGTTTTTTCTGGTTAATGACAGTTTATTACTAAGAAAACTGTCATTAACTTGAAAAAAAGAAATTACAGTTTTAATTACAGTTTTTTTTTTGTTATGACTGTTGCCATAGGGTTCTTCTTGGTACTTATATATGACACAACCACAAAAAGAAGACAACAGAAAACCAAAATAAACATCTAAAAACATTCCTATCGTGAGTACAAAATATTACTGAGGGTGGTACTGTTGCTGCAACTTAGTATTTGGACCTTGCAGTCTTAATTTGGCCCTGCTGCTTGGAGGCATTTTAGTTGTTCTAGAATAGAAGAGTTTAAGGAAAAATCAAACACAAGTATCATTTTTTTTCCTCCAGGGAATTTTAATGCAAGTTTATTTCATGCTAATTGCTGTTGCCTGTGTATATTGTCCTGCTATGCCTTCTCAACTGCCAAGAGGTAAGTGTTGAGTTGTCCAGAGTGATTGTTTGTGTAAGACACTTTAAGAAGGCATTTTGGTTGTAAGGAAAAAAAATAATAAAAAAATAAAAATAATAATAACAATAATAACAATAATAAATAAGACATTTATTCGTAGCTGCCCTATTTGATGCTAACTCTTTTTTAATTAGCAAATGTTTAGTCATAATAGGCTCTAAAAATCTGACCCACACACAGAGAACCACTTAGCGACCAAGGGTAAAAGTTAACTGGTTTATTGTGGGTTAGCAAAAACACAGATGGAGAGAGATATTCTGCTTTGTAATGCTGTTGGACCTCAGCTGACTGGTGAACCGGAACTGGAAACTCTGAAGGGGAGATCATAATGATCAGTTCATGGACCGTGGGAAAAAAGGACAGAGGCTTGTATATTGCTTGAGAGGCACTCACGTTTTGGGGGGCTCTTGGTTATTCCTTGGATCAAGTTTGTGGATGAACTCGATGGAGAGCGGACAGGCAGACAAGCGTTGGATCCAGAGGAGTAAACGAGTGGACTGTCACTTGGTTTTCCAGAAATGGACTTGATCATGTGGAGGTTTCCTCTTGCTCAGTGTGACTCGGTTAATCCTTCCAGGGGGGATAGAAGGTCCAGGCTTATCCAGTGATACTGAAAGGCTTCCTGCCGAAGAACAAAGACAAAGCAAGTTTAGACTCAGAGAGACAAGGCTAAAGTTAGACTACAAGTCTCAGTTTGGCTAGAGTACCCAAAACTGGCAAACACTCTGGCATCGAGGTAGTGACAGCCCGCTGCTCAAATAATCCTCTGGTGAAGACCCAACGAGCCGCAGGTGTGCAAGGAGGCGAAACGAGAACAGGGCCCCATCTGGTAGTGGAGAGAAGAAATTCCGTAAAAATTCAAAAAATATCCACTGGACTTGGTTT